CGCCGTAGCCGGGGGTCCTGCAGGTGCTGTCGCTGCTCCGATTTACTCCGGCGCGGGTCAGGGACCTGTGGTTTAAATCACTGCTGTTCGCCCGTCGCTGCAAGCTTTCCTCCTCTCTGGTTCCCCTGCAAACCCACGCACTGTAGGAGACGCAGCCAGCCCGCAGCGTCCCATTTACCCCCTCTCCCGCCATCGCAATGTTTGTTGTGCAACGTGGGTTTTCCGGCCGTGCTACCCCTTGTCCCAGCCCTCTCACCGCTGGCTGCGCTGCCGAGAACACCTGCAGGGATCCGGCTGCCTTTAGAAATGCTGCGTTTCCCGACGACAAAGGCGTCTTGGGGTGGTCGCAGCTGGGGTTCGGAGCAGGTCAGCAGGGCTGAGAGGTGCGGTTTTGGGAGAAGCAGCGGGGATGAATTAGGCTTTACTCCCCAGCTTTCAAGGGTGCTCGGCAGGGGCCACTGGGAAGGCTGCATCCCGGGTATTTACTGCATGAACTGGTGCAGAGCGATCCTGGGCAGCCTTGGCAGTTATGAGTGAGGTTGCAACGCCCTGCAGGGCTGCTCAGGGGATCTCAATACCCATGCCCTGTCCCCACAGCGTGTTAAACTGCTGCTTTTGTTTCTTGACCCTCACCTAGCTGTGATTCACCCCAGAGCCACTGCTGCGAGGGGTGCTTCTGCAGCCCTCTTGCCAACCAGGGACACCAGTTGGGCTTCTGGCTGCCACCACCATCCCAGTGAGACCCCACCATGATGGCTGTGCCAGGCAGGCTGTCCCAGGGGGGGGGAACAACCACGGGGCTTTTTGCACCCCCCCAGGGCTGGACGGTATCCCTGGCTCCAGGTGGGGCAGGCAGAAGCACCCACCATTCAGGCTTCAACTAAATGCTTGGGAGACACCCGGTGAACACATTTCGTGCCTGAAGTTCCCTAAACTTTAATTTTGCTTTATGTTTGGCTGCTCTTTCCTCTCCTGGCAGAGCGAGTCTGCCTTCGTGCTGCTCTGCTTCATCCCACAGCACTTCCAAGCCCCTGGTTTTGGCTGGGGTTGCGGGGTTGTATCCTCGGCCGGCCGGCTGTATCCTCACGTGCCACCCTTGGTGTTGGGCCCGGCCGGCTGTATCCTCACGTGCTACCCTTGGTGTTGGCCGTGGCTTTCCCAGCTGCCCTTGTGGTGTTTCGCAAAGAGGGCCAGCATCTGTCTGGAAGCGATGGGGAGATGTTATCTCAGCCTCTGCATGGGCTTTGGGTGAGGGCAGCCCACAAAAGCTCAGCCACATCGCTGGTCGTGCCAGGAGTCTGTGGCTGGATGTCTCCAGCTCGGCGTTTGGGAGGAGATCGGATCTGGCGCGTGAGCCGGGATCTTGAGTGGAAGGTGCAGGTGTCGAGCCGCTTCCCGATCCCGTATTCCTCCTCGAGGCAGGCAGGGATGTGGTGGGCAACATCCATCCTCCCTGAGTACAAAGGAAATGAGTCGAATCCTTTTCCCCAGGACTTTTATAAAGCAGGCACGTCACGGGGCTGACATCCCTCGTCCATCTTCCCACCGGTCCTACCGAAAAACAGTTCCTCCAGCACAGCCAAGCAGAGTGCATTTCAGGTTTGCTGCTCCCCGGTGTCACTGGGAACGATTTCAGAACGATTTCACCAGAAACGCCGGGGGGTGTTCTCAATCCACAGTGCTGATGCTGGGGCTGTGTCTCGGCTTGCACAAGTTACACCGTGCCGTGGCACGGGTGTGCACATCACCAGACAAGCTGGGAGGGAATCACAATTCCCTTTTATCCGATTTTTTTAAACACCTGCGGGGCTTCCTTTGGGTTTTAGTCTCCTGTGAGCTCCAGCAAGTCCTATCAGAGAGTTTAGCACCAACCCCAGGACCTGCTGCCAGCCAGAGCCATGGCCAGTTTCTGCCAACATCGCTGGCAGTTTGGCAATGAATTCACAGCAACACGCGGCCCACGTGCGCTGCCGAGCCTCGGTGCGGCTGGCAGCCCCGGGACGTACCGGGAATCATAGAATCATAGAATAGAATCATAGAATCGCTTTGGTTGGAAAAGACCTTTAAGATCATCGAGTCCAACCGTTCCCCTAACCCTGCCATCCCACCACTAAACCATATTCCTAAGCACCTCATCCATCCTTCTTTTAAATACCTCCAAGGATGGGGACTCTACCACCTCCCTGGGCAGCCCATTCCAGAGCCTGACAGCCCTTTCAGTGAAGAAGTTTTTCCTAATATCTAACCTAAACCTGCCCTGGCGCAGCTTCAAACCATTCCCCCTCGTCCTATCATCTGTTACCAGAGAGAAGAGGCCGACCCCCACCGAAACCGGATGCTTCCTTGCATAGACCCTGTATAGGGAAATCTGGCTGCTTTAGGGGGTTGTACCGGGGAGCACAGACCTTGCCAGCGTTTCTTCCCCTGCTAAGTGATGCTTTGGGAAATGCTTTTGCTTTTCATCTCCTACCAGAGTGAGAAATGCTGCCACCTCGCTGTTTGAAAGCTCTTTGAGGCCTGGATTTCCTAAAGGTGGGTGGGAAATCCCAAGGAGATTTCCCTTGCAGTCTTGCCCCAACACAGAAACCTCCTTTCCTTTCCAATCCGCTCAGTGGATGCTTCCCAATTTTGGATCAATTCACCTGCAGGATCTGAGATCTGCGTGGTGTAGTCACCTGCAATAATCTTTTCCGAAGCCCCGGTGCTCAGACCGTGCTAGCAAAGACTTTGAACACCACGGCCACAGCCCAAGCACATGGCTCTTTGCCCTGTCCTCATTCCCAGCCCCATGTGGCTCTTTCCCCACAGATGCCACTTAATCTATGAACGGTTTCCCTTCTTGCCTGCAGCACCCTGACGGATCCGATGCTTTTGTAATAAGAACTGGGATGGGAGACGGCAAAATCCTCATTTTTCTCCCCGAGCAGTCGTGCTGTCTGCCGCAGAGCTGGCCGTAACGTGCCGATCGTGGGAGCGACCTTTTGGCCCGAGCTGGTCGTTCTCATGCCTTCGAGATCTTCAAGTCCCCTCTGAGATTGTGCAAGTTTGAAAAACGTAATTGGAAAAATGCCGCCAGCTAAAGGTGGCAGAAGGGAGCAGGGACTGCAAACAGTTCCTTGCCTCGAGCCCTGCGACTGTGGCTCCCGCTTGCCCTTTGCCAACCTCTTGTCCCAAATTCCACCTTGACTCGCCCAGCATCCAATCTCTCTGCAACCCAGGGCAGGCAGAAAGCCGCCTGCCATCAGATAACGTGCTTGGGTTTGGGTTTAGTTTCTTTAATGACTGGTTAAAGGGCTAATAACATCTTGAGGAATGGGCTTTGCTATTTTTAGGAGCCGCTGGTTGGTGTGTATTAACGAGCTTTTGTGAACGTGCGACTGTTACGAGGATGGGGGGTTGCTACCCCAAGAGGTCGTTGCAGTTCCCCGTTGCTTTTCTGCTCTTTTGACCCTATTCAGGTCTTTAAGCTCTTTTTTTAAAGGTAAGATTTGAGCCCAAATTTCCTGCGGATGCTCCCCTTCCCTAAATAAATGGGAGAAGCCTTACATATCGCCTTTGAGTCCGACCCTTGGCTGCTGCCGAAGGCTGTCACCTGTAACACAAGCCATAAATACCCAACCCTGAGAGTGGGGGTATGTTTATACCTCCCCTTAGCTTAAAAATATTTGTGATGCTGCAGAAGCGCTGCTGGGTACCCAGGCTATCGCTGCTACAGCGTGGTAGCCGGAGGTGGAGGCTGAGCGGTGCCGCATCGGGCTCCCTCTGTTGTCGGGTGCTGAGAGTGGCACGGGAGCCGTGCCGGAGCAAGATGAACCCACTGGCCTGCCTCTTGCAGGATCAAGATTTCTTTCACCTGAAAACACAGAGCAAGCAGCAAGGTTGCAGCGCCGAGCAGACGCGTGGCAGCGCTGACGTGACTTTATTGCACCCGGTCCTTGCCTAAAAGCACCCAAATGGGCTATAAATTGTCCTGGTCTCATAGCGGGAAGCTGTGACCTGGCAGTCGAGGACAGGAGCAGGATGGGGTTGATGCGGGTTTAATAATTGATTAGCAAGGTGATAGAGATGCTGGCAACGGTGGCCCAGGGTTGCTTCAGCCCTTGTTTCCCTGCATCTGTTTCTGACGCTTTCCCTGTCCCCGCAGTCATCCTGACGGACGAGGAGGTTCAGAGGAAGCGCGAGATGATATTGAAGCGCAAGGAGGAGGAAGCGCTCAAGGAGAGCCTGAAGCCCAAACTCTCGGAGGAGCAGCAGAAAGTCATCGACATCCTCCTCGAGGCTCATCGCAAGACCTACGACCCCACGTACGCTGACTTCACCAAGTTTCGGGTACGTCCGGCACACACCAGCCCTGATTCCCATGCACAGGGTCAAGCGGTTCCTGCCCAGATGCACCAAACCTGCTTCATCCCATGACCTCTCACTAGAGAGGAGTTAAAAATCCCAGTGCAAGATCCTTGATGCTGCCATCAAATTGCTCTCCAAGCCCTGTTCCTCACGTCCTGCTTTCTCTTCCAGCCCCCCATAAGAAGCAACCCCAGCAACAGGGGAGCAGCAAGGTCCCCCTCCGTTCTCACCCAGGACTTGTCGTCGGAGGATTCCTCCGACCTCTTTGGCTCCGACACCTTCAGCACGTTTCCAGGTACCGCGCTCGCCTTTCCGTACGTGATGGGGATAGAAGTGCAGCAGCTTTACCTAAGCCTGGCCATTCGGACCCTTGTTTTACCTCTTCTGGGGAGCTTGTTTAATGGCAAGACCCTCGTGGGGGTGTTGCAGAGGCTTTTTTACAAGCAAAAAAGCATGAAGTGCTTGCCTGGATCATGGCCCTGCAGACCTCTGTGTGTCTGAGCCCTCCAGGATGGCCAAGAGGAGCGTGAACATGAACACTGGGCTGCCTGGTCACTGCTCTGGCTGCAGTTAGACTTGATCGCAGCCCAGGCGAGGAGTTAAAGGCCCCAGGGCAAAGATCTTGATGCGACCGACTGCTCTCCCAGCCCCGTTCCTCATGTCCTGCTGTCTAACCGCAATGCAAAGCCCTCCTGGCAGGATGGGTGCCGTTCCTGCTGCAGGCTGGCATCGCTTTCCTCAACCATAATGTCTCGCCTACAGCCGAGGTACCCTCTGACCATCTCACTCCCTCCAGAGTCTGTGGAGCCCCAGATGTTTTCGAACCTGGTCCTTTCCGAGGAGAATGAAGAGAGCTCCTCTGTGAACATCGACTTCTCCCACCTCTCCATGCTCCCGCACTTGGCCGACCTGGTCAGCTACAGCATACAGAAGGTGATCGGCTTTGCCAAAATGATCCCGGGATTCAGGTGAGACGTTTGCTCCCAGGTCCAAAGTCTGTGGTGGTCTTCCACGCTTGGGAATCCCATCCTACCCTTCGCAGCCAGATCATTTTTCTCTCTTTCATCTTCACAGCTGTCCCTCAGGCTCTGTTCCCTTCCCAGGTCTGTTGCTACTTTCATGTTTTTCTGTCTCTCCTCCCTCCTGGGGTTACTCCTCTCCTGTTTTACCCTGATTCACCCAGATTTTGTCAGCAAAATGCTTGAGCTCCTAAAAAAGATGCCCGAGACCGTGAGAGTGGTCCCATCCTGGTTTGCGAAGGACCTCAGGTCCTGTTTAACTCCAGGCTGGTGGCCAGGGTGCTGGGTGGTGCCAGTTGGGAAATGTAGCTGCAGAAAAACCTGCTGCTTCATTACATAGAAACCCGGGGTGAGGGACAACCAGGGGTGCCCCCAGCAAAGGGACCAGGTTACCGATGGAGAACCTGGCGCATGGGTGGCGTGGGCTGTTCCTCTGCTCACCGGACAGGTCTCACGTCCCCCTCTTCCTCCTGCTCAGGAACCTGGCAGCAGAGGACCAGATCGCCCTGCTAAAATCCAGCGCCATTGAGGTGATCATGCTGCGCTCCAACCAGTCCTTCAGCCTCGAGGACATGACGTGGACCTGCGGCGGCAATGACTTCAAGTACAAGATCAGCGATGTCACCCAAGGTAAAGGCTGCCGGGCACTCTCCTGCTTGCTGCGGGCTAAGAAATGTCATCCCAGCCTTACATTCAGATGCCAAAATTCCCATATTGAGGAGTCTGGAAGCAGGGATGGGTTAGCAGGCTGCACGGCTGCGAAGACAGCAGCACCAGCAGCTTGGCAGTGCCACGGCTGGGCTGAGACCCCCATCCTGGTGTCTGCCATGCTCCGTTTATCTCCCAAGCCCCACGCTGTGATGTGCGCATCCTGTAACTGGTCCGGATGGCTGGGAAGAGCCGTTAACTCCTGAAGAAAAGCAAAGCCGAAGCGTGGCCATAGCTCAGAGCTGCCTCCAGCCCCTCGGCCATAGCTCAGAGCCGCCTCCAGCCCCTCAGCCGTAGCTCAGAACCGCCTCCAGCCCCTCGGCCGTAGCTCAGGGGTGGCTCCAGCCCCTCAGCCGTAGCTCAGGGTTGGCTCCAGCCCCTCGGCCATAGCTCAGAGCCGCCTCCAGCCCCTCAGCCGTAGCTCAGAACCGCCTCCAGCCCCTCGGCCGTAGCTCAGGGGTGGCTCCAGCCCCTCAGCCGTAGCTCAGGGTTGGCTCCAGCCCCTCGGCCATAGCTCAGAGCCGCCTCCAGCCCCTCAGCCGTAGCTCAGAACCGCCTCCAGCCCCTCGGCCGTAGCTCAGGGGTGGCTCCAGCCCCTCAGCCGTAGCTCAGGGTTGGCTCCAGCCCCTCGGCCATAGCTCAGAGCCGCCTCCAGCCCCTCTGTCCCACAACAGGGATTGAGTTCAGTTTGCTCCGAGCTGCCTTGAGGGCTGGAAAGCCGTTGTGCCTTCCCACCGCTGCCACTCTGCAGCCAGGAAGCCCTTCTGCCAGGAAAGGTGGTGAATCCTGCCCTAAACCTCCCCCACTTCAGGATTCGGGGACCAGCATGGAGAACAGGGTGTGCAGGTGATGCATATGGACCTTAAATCTCCCCCTGCACTTGGAAGAGCCGCAGAGTAACCTGGGGCTGGCTGAGATCCTTGGTGCAAGGGCAGAGATCCCCCAGCGAGATCCCAGGAGAACCAGGGCGAGCGGCGTCTGGGGACCAAGCCCGGGGAAGCTGGCACCCACCAAACGCAGGAAGGAGATCTGCTTGCAGAGAGGGCTCTGGGCACACAAGGTGGGGTTTGTGATGCTCGTGCAGGACACGGAGGAGTGTGCAAGTGATGATAAGGAGGCAATTTATAGATATCCCAAGCAAAATCTGCTCCATAATCCCCCGCTTTAGAGAAACCGCTGGGGAGAAAAGTACAATTCAAAACCGACGTGTTTTAAGCTGTATCGAAAGTCGTCTTCCACTGTCCCAGCTCTCTGCTGGGCTGAAAGAGGAGCTGCTGAGCTCCACACTCATTCCTCAGCTGTGGGAGATCTTGTTCCCGAGCAGGCTGTGCTAAACGTCCTTTTCTCCTCCCAGCTGGCCACAACATGGACCTCCTCGAGCCGCTGGTGAAATTCCAGGTTGGCTTGAAGAAGCTGAACCTTCACGAAGAAGAGCACGTGCTCCTCATGGCCATCTGCATCCTGTCCCCAGGTAGGAGAACGCTCATCCCCCAAGGCCACTAACCTGCCAGGTTTTGGCTACGTCCCCAAAAATATCACCTTTCCCTCGCCATCACGGCCAGCTGGGAAAAGGGAAGGGAATCACTCTGCGTCCCTGGTGTTTCCTAGATCGCCCAGGCGTGCAGGACACCTCGCTGGTGGAATCCCTCCAGGATCGCCTCTCGGAGATCCTCCAGACCTACATCCGCTGCAGGCACCCTCCTCCCGGCAGCCGCCTGCTCTACGCCAAGATGATCCAGAAGCTGGCCGACCTACGGAGCCTGAACGAGGAGCACTCCAAGCAGTACCGCTGCCTCTCCTTCCAGCCCGAGCACAGCATGCAGCTGACGCCGCTGGTGCTCGAGGTCTTCGGCAACGAGATATCCTGACTCCAGCCATGGGGTTGAGCACCCACCAGTAAAGGGATAAGTCAGCCTGGCTTCCCCGAGGCAGCGAGTGGAAGGACGTGACCCTGGGCAGGAGTTTTGTACATAGACCGTTTGGTTTCACACTACTGGAGGCCCTGCTTGATCTTCTCATCCCCGGCGGCTGAGGTTTGCTCGCTGCGGAGCAGTGACAGACCCAGATCCGTGTGGTTTCTCCCCACTCCATGAGCAGCTTTTCCGCTTCCCTGCCATCTGTGAGAGCTGACTTATCCCTTTATGGATATTTTGAGGCTGGGCTGCCTCCTATCACTTCTTTCTTGACCCGAAAAATCAGGCTGCTTGGAAGGAGAAGCGCTGGGGGGGGTTTTGTGGGGGGAGACGGACTCAGGGCATTGCTGAGCCGTCGGCGCCGTCCTTTGCTCCCTTCCTAAAATCTGCAACGCTCACCACCCCCCCGGGTTCAAAAAGGGAGACTCCAATTGAATTGCACCCCCGAAATCCCTGCCAGAAAATGCCGTGGGCTGCGTCCCCACGTGCGTGGCCAGCTAAAACCAGTCCCGGTGAGACTGGGACGAAGCCGAAGACATCTGCGTCAGCCCCCAGAGGGGGAATTTGCCCTCAGCCCTCCAAGGGAACAGCCGGACGAGCTGCCATTTCCATTCCCAACACTACTGCCTGGCTTTGGGGGAGCGGGGTTATCTCGGGGTGACTCCTCCGCTCTCTCGGAGCTGCAC